CATGTGGGACTGGAAAAGATAAGGCAACTTCTGATTGCAATACACTTTTCCCTTGGTGGACATGATCTAATTATCTTTTATTTGAACATGAACTTTTTTCCACTAATCTAGGAGTATCAATTTTTCCCTCCAAAAGTTCCTAAACGAGATTCTGATTAAACTCCTCCAAAATGGTTAGGTGTTCTGTGCATTTAAAATAGCAATAAAAGAATTTTTCACACTAAATTACGTAGAAACGGCATCTTATTCTTTTGGCGATCTATAGTCACTTTCTTATCTTTGTGATAAGAAAATATTAATGGTTATTTTCATCTTACAAATAGGATCGGCTATTATTTTAGAATCGATCTAGTACACACATGGCATCTCGATTCCATTTTCAATTGATATACAAATATTTATGCTGATGCATCCACCATATATTGATATGGCATTTGTTTTTTGCTAGTTCGTATGCCTTCTTCATTTCCCTACCATATTTTGGAATTTTATGCTTTATTTATGTCACATTTTATACATTTTTTTTATATCTTATTTTTAATGTACTATGTATCCATTTACTAAGAATGTGTATTTACTACTTTAACATCATGGCAGTAATATGTATCTCATTTAATCGCTTATTGTACGTTTAATTTCATTTTTAACTCATAATAACTTCATATTCTTTCTTCCCAGTTTGGATTACAATGAAGTGAATTAGGATTCACATACACACAAGCTCGTCAATGGCTTAATTACTCTTTTTTAGATATTTATTTATTTTAATATTGATTTTGAAAGACTTATGCGGCCCCTGGAGTAAGTTTGATCTCGTGACCTTAATCAGACCAGCTTTGTTTATTTTTAATATTTCTTGCTTAGTTTTAGTCTTGTCATTTTTTGTCTTTTCTAGCAAGTCCATATCAAGTGGTCTGATCTTCATGTTCCCCATTATCTTTGCTTAGGCTTATTACTTGGCAAATAAGTTTGTGTAAATGTCCTTATTCCTTTTCTTAATTTACTCTATGCCTTTCTTTTGGCCAAATCTTCATTTGTGACTTCCATTATATGTAAGTCTCCTTTTAAAGACCGCTTTCAATAAGGAGAGAGAACTTATCATAATTAAGGTCTACTAATGTCAATTCTTGTGAAGTAAAAAGTAGGAAATTGAACTTCGTATTTATATTTGTCAACCTTTTTTATAAAGGGATTTTATTCTACAAAGTAAGTTCTGTTGAATACGAAGCATTTGTGTTAAATCTATACTTTTGAAGTTATTTGGCTATCTCTTAGTCCGAGACTTCACTGTCCATTTTATCTTTTATCCCTTCATATAATTCCCCTGGGACATCTTTTTTAACCTAGTCAAATTTGGAATGAAGTCGGCGTTGTTCCGAGGTCCTTCGTTTTAAACAATCAAACTAAGAGCATTTTAAGTCCAGGCTTATGGTTCACCGACTCCTATGAATACAGTTAGCACGAGGTTATAAAGCAAT